ACGGGTGTTGTATTTATACGATAAATACTTACTTTAAAAATTTTAAATTCCGCTGCGTACAGCCCGTACGGTACTAGCGAACCCAACAAAAGGGACGTTGAATAGACCACAAAAATTAGTGTGAATAAGTTATAAGATTTTAATGCTTCTCCTGGCAGATCTCTTTAATGTATGCTAGTTTGCTTTTCTTTAATTCATTTTATACATACATCTTGATCACTAAAATCCAAATGAAAAATGGTTTCATTATTCACTATTCTCAAAACTTTTCTTTGGATATGTGGCCATAATCTTTAATGTCATAAGAGAGTAGAATTTTAATTATGTGCACTACGTTTAACCTCAAAATAAATATGAGATGCATAAGTAGTTGCACAGAACCAAGCCACCAAGTATTATTGGGAATCTTTAAAAAAAATTTGATACACAACATACAAAAAATTAATGTATGTCTTTCTTTTCGAATCAAGATTTTATTTCGGGCAATCTTCCCTAAGGTGGCCTAACTTTTTACAGAAATAATACCTCATTTCTTTAATGATTGGACCTTCAAAAACTTCAAGTAAGCCAATCTCCTTTTATTTGCCTTTATTTCTCATTTTATCTTACTATTATTGGCTCTACATGAGATATAAAGTGAATCGACTCTTCTTTCATCTCATTTATTCTCACCTCTTCCTGCACGCATAGCCTTAATTTGCTTACAATCTCATTTATCTTTAATGGTGTTATAGTTCACCTAGGATTGGTCAAACTTGACAGGTAGGTAGTTCATGATGAATAGAACCATAAATGAGTCTATCACATTCATTCTCATGTTTGTAAGTTTAGCTTATATGTTGAACATGTGGGTCACGAGATCATGAATTGAACAGAATCAGTCAAACTTTTATAGTGGAGAGCACATACATGAAACTTCCCACAATAGACTTTTTCCGTAACTTTAAATGGAGATAGTTCCTTGATTTTTATTTAGGAATTCTTTTGTATTATTAGCCTTAATGTTATCCGCCTTGATTAACTTCATAAAATTCAAACACAACCTATTTGATCGCACACATACCCTACGTAGAGTTACCTCAACTTCGGAGCTCTCATCAGTAATAGTTGTGAGAACTTCTTCAGTAATTAGAGTCATACCCAAATTCATTGAACCCAATTGAAATTGGATATGCTTATACCATTCATTGAAGTTCAGCCATTTGAATTTTTTGTTAACTATAATACAGTATGGATAACCAAATTTTGAACGTTGCAAACTTTAATACATGCTAATAGTTAAGCTTTGAGAGACAATTAATGGATTCATAAATCTTTTGAATTATATATTTAAATATACCTTTGGGCAAATACTTAAATATATAATATACTTGATTGATGCCTAAGTGGAAAGATCTTTAATAGAAATTACAAGAATTGTGATTAACTAGTGGTTATCTTTGGACAAACACACTAATTAACCTAACTTTAATATAATTTCTCTTTTATATATTAATCTTTGATAGAGATTATACAAACTTCAGTCAACTAGCGGTTATTTTTGGACAAACATGCTAATTAACATCCCTTTAAGTGTAACTTCTTTATTAAATATTAATCCTTAATAGAAATTATATAAATTTTGATCAATTAGAGGTTATCTTTGGACAAACACACTAATTGACCTAACAGGAATTATAATTTCTCTTTTAATTGTCATAACTATAAACACATGGCACACCTTTGGGTGTCCTCCTGGTTTATAATCAATGACATCAATTATTCAAATATATAATTTGAGAAACATTAATAAGACATCCTTTTATATTTGAATAATCGATACTTTAATCTAATTTAATTATCTACTCCATAAATTAAACTAGGTCACTTTGGTGACTAACTAGTTTTCTTACATAGATAATATAATTAGAAAATATTTTATTTGATTGTATGTTATGAGATTATTTAAACTATTATTAATCTCTACCAAGAAATCCATTCACTTGCATGCAATTCTCGGTAAACAATTTCCAATCCAAAAAGCATACAAAAGGCAGTTATTTGATGGTTATTATAGCAGGCAAACAAATAATTCCCAACCAAGAATATACCAATCCAATTAGAACAAAAATTAATCCATCTGTGGCAAGTAATACGTACGCATATGCTATGATTCATTGACAAATATTTCACATGATCAATGAATTGGACACCAATGAAGCTTTACGGAATTCAAGCCACAAAACATTTCAAGCAAATATATGTTGAAATTAATATGCTCATACAACCACCATAAATATGCGCACGCATAAAATAATATGCTCTTACAGTTTTGAATCCATTACTCATATTTAATTAATTCAGTCGCATATAATAACTATAAGACGTACGCAAAGTCCTAGGCAGAATTAATTAATTCACCTTTATAAAACTTTAATTGGCAAGATAATTATGCACAAACACATTCTCTGATACCACATGTAAGAAAATTAACGGGCATACTCATAACTATTAAGCGGAATTGAATAAACCCTACGCATGTAATTCTATCAATTCATAGAATATGGATCTTTGCATAAATTAAATTGCACATAGAACTTACAAGAATCCAGCTTATAGTCCTTCCCTGTTTTCTTGATCTATGATGTTGATCTGCGATCTCTTCGTCCTCGTGATGTCATGGATCTATCTTTCTCATAATTTTCAATGATGGATTCCCTTTGCCTATGAATTGTTTCTCTCTCCCGCTTCTCTCGTCTTTTCATAAAGCCCTTGATGTTGAGAACTTTATTTGCGTATGAAATGGGAGAGAGGTGCATGTAGTATATATAGGAGGAATCCTACAAACCTATTCCTACTAACATTCCCCATGTTCTAACCTAACTTACTGTCCAAGTCAAACATCACAAATTGGACTCTTTTATATTAGAACATTAATAATCCATTAAATACATATTCATCTTAATTAAGTTTGACTATTAATTCAATTAGGTCCAATTAATTTATATGGTCCACAATAATAGAATAATATATAAAATATTATTACATTCAATGATTGTACGGGGTCTTATGATTGTATCCATCTTTATCCTAGTCTCGCATGATTTCGGTCGGTGGTGGGTTGATTCTCTTTATTCGCGTCTTGAAAGGACAATTAAAATGTGCAATTTGACTGCTACTTTCTCAAGAATACAAAAATAAATGGTTATTACCATCACCTTTGTTTCGTAAGGTCGACCTTATTCTTTAAGGCACTCTGCAGATACATCCAAATCCCATTAGCTCTGCTTCGAAATACCAGTGGTGCACAAGACAAATGATATCACGAGTTAGAAATGCAAGTTCCAGAAGAAGTAATTACAAGTATATTCATAAATCACAATTTATTCAATCTACGCAATAAATGAAATTTCTCTATATTTATTTAATGTGTAAAAGAATTTGAATTGGAAACGAATTTTGCATGTGGGGAAGGTTTCGTTGAGGGATCGGGGGTTGCTTAACAGCAGTATCTTGTTAAGAGCACCCACAATGCATTATGTCCAAATTTTACATATGTGGCATATAAATTGATTTAAGTCCTTAATGACATGGACAAACCCAAGTAAATAAAATCCAAAAGATATTAAGTGTTGATAATGAAATGGACTTCACTCAGGGTCCTTCAATTCAGATGGTCTCCGTACCTGCAAGAATCCAACGCCGGGGAGGGGAGTACCGGCGTCGGGCCTCCGATGCCTAAGTCAACACTCGCTCCAAATCAAGAGTGCAAAATGATAGTGTAGTAGTGAATGTAGAGAGAATGATGTTTTGAGATACCTTAGCACCCTTTTTATAGGGAAATTGTATCTTAGTGCCCAAATTAAACTTGATCAATACCATTATGCCATGTGTAGGCTTATTCTCTAATATATTCCTTCTTATCCATTAAAATCGGTATAATATAATATCATATATCAAGTGCAAAAATAAAATACTTATCGACTGGCCCGTTGATTTAGAACCGGAGGAATATTCCTTCTTTTTTAATAATATTGCCAGAGTTGGTTCACCTTGAACCGATGGACCAGTTCTGAACCGTAAACCTCCGGTTCATTGAACCGCACAGTATATATTTGTCGGGCATGTTCAGGTTGACCACAAGGCGGTTCGAAAACTGCCCGGACCAGAATGGACCAGTTCTGAACCGTAAACCTCCGATTTATTGAACCGCACAGTATATATTTGTCGGGCCTGTTCAGGTTGACCACAAGGCGGCTCGAAAACTGCCCGGACCAGAAACTAGCCACGTCTACATTTATAACGTAGAAGCCCATTCCCCGAGAAAAAAATAGTTCTCCGCAATCAAATGAGCAAATTTGACTCCACGAAAAAACCCCCCCAATTCGGTTTAGTAGGGTTTTAGGACCAACCTTCAGGCCAGAATTCATGAGAAATACCCAGCATCGGATACGCAAGCTATACACATAGCCTGTATCTATAGTTAGACAGAGAGATGGACAAGCAAATTCTGACCCTTGACAAAGGCACCCGATGCACGGCTTGGAATTATAGTGGCCAGAGACTTATTGCAGGCCTGGCTGACGGCTCCTTGGTCACATATGACTCTGCGGATCCAGCTTCTTCCGTTTTTACTTGTACCTCCAGATTTAAGGTCGTATTTTTTTCCTTCTCTTCAGCTCTTTCATATTCATTTTGAGATGCATTTGGAATGGCATTTCCTTAGATGTGTGTGGTGTTTGGTGAAAGGGCTCGGGGGTGTGACTTGTTCATTTGATATGAAGAACTGTTTTAAGGATGTTTCTGGCTTTATGCATGTGTTGCTTATGGAATGTTGAGNTGAGAACAGCATCGTGAAAGTTGTGTGGATCCCACCGGAATATGGAGATGCAGTTGCTTGCATTAGTGCCGATGGGAATCTGTCTTTGTGGGAGGAGGTCTCGGAAGGTTTTTTGTGAATTTACTTGTTTGTATTCTGTAATCATCTTTATATTTTGGGCTAAGAATCGACAACTATTTGATTTTACCATATCTTGGAGACGATGCACTTTTTCCTAATTGTGTTCTAGCTTGTTGTGGATACTTTGTTGCTGCCTTTTGTGTTGAAGTGTTAAAGAGTAAAATAACTTATATTTGTTCTGTTCATCCATTAGAATCCAAGGGTTGTCACTGGAAGATGTGCAAATGCTTTGATAATGGTACTAGGCAGGTTCTTGATGTTCAATTCGGAGATGGTCAGACATGTCTGAAATTGGTTAGTCTTCCTATTACTTGCTTTGGATAGGCATTATGTTGTGCTGTATCTCTTTTGCTGAAATCTTAGTGAAATATGAAAACAAAAGGTATGTGGCGCATGATTGTATTATTAATTTAACATAGAAAACTTAGACCGATATATATTCTATTGAATGTAGTAAATACCCATTTAGTTTGTCGGGGTATGCCTTGCTGTTGCTGATGAATACTTTTTCGGTCATGGGTGAACATATAGATACTCAGTGAAATTTAGTGTTAATCATTTTCTGCTATCAATCAACACTACTAAACGGAAGGCTAATTGTGGTAAATATGTGGAAAATTGAAACATTAGCCCAACTTAATCTATTCAATTTATATTTCATATTCATGATCTACTCCGTAAATTTTCATACATAGACAAAAGAAAGTTTCAAATCTTTACTCATCTCTAAGTTCAATAAGTTTCGAATTCAATAATAGAGGTACATCTTGTGGCTTTTATTAGAAGTCCTAAAGCATCAGATATTCAGACGTTTTCCTTTTTCTTTGGTTTTGAATTCTTAAACAATTTTCTTAAAAATCCATGATGATAGGTAGTTGTCGTATCCCTGACGACAAGCTAATGCAGAAAATTTCTCATTGTTGATGTGTGAAACTTTTATGCTTGGAAGGAAAGAAGGGGGCATCCATAAACTGAGATGGTACCTGATATAATCTTCCTAAAATAAACCTCCTATTTTATTCTCTTGCACTGCGAAAGTAAGCTTTGCAAGTCAGTAATGAGGTACATTTAGATGAACCCTGGTATCTGTACGCAAGTAGAAGAACAGTGTTTGTGATGTGATTTGAGTGTCTTTATTTTTACATCTTTTTTTGTTTTTAAGAGAATAAAATGTTATACTGATAAGGTTCGAGATGAATCTCAAGCATAAAAATGTGGAACAGTATGATGATGTAGAATTTGAAGCAAAGTATATTTTCAGGCTTGCTGAAAGTTTAATAAAGAAGTATAAAAACTCTACGTTGTCCCTAAGTTGTCGTGTTGAGCTTTCTGAAATGTACCTGGAAGTAAAAAGGGAACCATCCACAAGTTGAGATGTTACCTGATACAATCTTCCTCAAATATCTCAGATAGTTATTCATATAAGTATTCTCTGGCATTGCACTGGTAATAACTGCAAGTCAGTGATGTGATACGGGAACTCTGTACAAAAGTAGAAGAATGATTTTTTTTATGTGGATAGAGTATACTTAGTTATGCATCTTTTTTCACTGTACGGCAAGATAAAAGTAATAAACTGAAAAAATGTGAGAGATGTTACAAGCAACTAGGTACGGTAAAACAAAAAAAAAAAAAAATATATCAAGCATCTTTACGCTATTCATGATGTATTTGACCTAAAGTGTCAAAATTTTCCCAATGAAAGATCTTCAGAAGCTTTGCATACACTACTGAAAATTCAAGCATCACTGCAAAAAGGTTCTGTTCAGCATTTCACTGGTCTATAAGTTGTCAAGTTGAGTAGGGGACATTTCCTGTAACTTTCAGAAAGATGTTTCACAGTAACTATTGCTTTCGATTTAGGTGTATGTTTGTGCTCTTGTACTACCATAAACTTTCTTAAAACCTGTGCGTTCACATCAATACATTCTAACTACTGTGTGTTCAACATCCACTATGTTTGTAAAAACATTCCAAGCATTTAAGTGGTTTAATTTTTGTTTGCTTTATTTAACTTCTTGTGTTCTGTTCTACTTATCCATGTCATTTTTTTGCTTATTTTCGTTTTGTCAAGTGCTCAGTTGGTGAGAATGTAAAGTATTAGTGCTATCCGTACTATTTAGTTATCCGGAGCCACTTCCAAAACAAACATGAAACTTATGCATTATCTTGATTAGATGAGTATGTTATTGATGCTAATTGTTCCTGAATTTTCATCAATGTAGGTAGCTGCATATTCAGATGGGCACATAGAAATCTATGAGCTGCTAGATATGCTTGAACTGGAGAAATGGCAACTTCAGGTTTTTGTTGTTATCAGCAGTTTTATTATGTGAAATATTCTTTTGCCAGGAATATTCCTTCTCCATTGAACTTTTTGATTGCGAACAAAGCTTTTTCATACATAGAGTGAACATGTTAAGTGTTAATTGATGTGTATATTGTCTTCAAAATTTCCTCCCATTGCTTGGCGTATGATGATGTTGGAATCTATAAGATATTGTAGCTTAATCTAGCCGCAAGTGTTGGTTAAAATAATGATAAATTTACAATCTATAAGATCCAACTCAAGGATTTTTCATGATCTTGCTAACATTATCAATATCCTCATTTTTAAAGGACACTTGTAAGCTTCAGGTTATTTGTGAAGCTCATATTTTATTTCCCATTACTTTTTCCAAATATAGATCTCCTCATAAAATACATTATGTTGCATCTGATGGAAGGACTAGGTCTAAAATTTCAAATGAATCCATGTAGGCAACAACAACAACAACATACCCAGTATATTCCCAACAGGTTGGGGTCTGGGGGGTCAGTTGTACGGATCTTACCCTTGTAATTATACAAGGAGGCTGTTTCCGTAGCGACCCAAGGTGCATTGTGCCGGTTGATATATATTTTTTTTCTAGAAACTTCACTAATAGAAGAAGCACTAGAATTTAATTGAGCCATTTTGATCTAGTCCATTATTAGCACTATGCCAGGAGAATTGTCAACAATGACTCTTCCAGCTCCATTTGGAATGGACAAAATCCATGTAGGATGGATTTAAAAATCCACATAAGGATTTGAAGCTGATAGTATATTTGTATCCAATCAAGCCCAATATTAACATATTATTTATTTCACCTTTGTTGGAAAATCATATTACAAAGTCTAATCTCTTGGATCTTTCTGCCATTTGAATACTACTTGTAGGCTGAATTTCAAAATGTGATTGATTTGGTTTCCAAGTTTGGGAATGTTTCCTGCCTGTCTGCATCCATATCATGGAGCCCTCAAAGAAGTGAAGCCAAACAATCAAGCTTTGTGTTGGGCTTTGGATCAAATACTCCACCTCTAAATTCTCCAAAGGTATAGACTTTGTCACCTTTTCAAATCGAAGTTGCACTGATTTATTAGCTTTTTACGTAAACTATTGTGGTGAGCGGTATCGATGTGTGGTTGACTTGTGATAATATTACTCCTGCCTATGTAATATTTAAAAGGGACCTCAGTTCTAGACATGCTTACATTGCAACTTCATCAGTGAGGAGGTGACTCTAGTTACAGTAGGCATGCTTATATGTACGAGTTAATCATATTATTCAGTTAACAGGTTTGGGAGTTTGATCTGGATCATCAAAGATGGCTTCCAGTTGCTGAGCTTTCTTTGCCTGAGGATAAGGGTGATCAAGTTTATGCAGTTGCTTGGGCACCAAACATTGGAAGGTATCATCCTCTAAGACTAAATCATTATCCCTTCTCTCTCTCTCTTTATAAGCTGTTTTATACCTAAATATTTTAAATTGGGGACAGAGCTTGAAACTGAAGGTATCTGCTCACTTTTTTATTACTTTCAGTGTCTTAAATATCAAGTAATATTAGGTTAGTTGAAAAGGTGTTCTGTGCTGGTGGGAAGCATGTTGCACCAAAATGCGTACTACAGTTACACATGTGGCAGCTTCAAAAAACTGATTTGAGGGAAAAAAAAAATATGTACCATCAGAAGAGTTTGTTCTGGAGAACAAATGAAGTATGTAAAAGAAACAATAGTCACAGTAGGAATACAACAATGCATAAATTTGGGTCGAGTTGTTTCTGTTGTGAAAGATGGAGAATTTTTAATGAACTTTGTGCATTGTCATTTCTTCAGGGATTACGAACTTATAGCTGTTGCCACTCAAAAAGGAATATCAATTTGGCACCTGGGTTCAGAACCCGATCAGGATGGAAGGCTTTCGGTGCAGAGAGTTGCATTGCTCTCTGGTCATGACAGCGAGGTATTGATAATGCTTGTTTTGTGAGGTGGTTTGATAGAAGTTAGTTTCACTAGCAATCTACACCACAAGTATTAAAAATTTATAAATTTAAACTCTTTCCCCTGTCCGAAGTCCGAAGGGAAATGNAAAAAAAAAAAAGAAAAAAAGAAAAAAAAAAGTGGAGTTTGAAAATATTAGTCATGATGAAGCAATAATTCCTCATTGGTAGAAACGATAATTTTTTCACTGTAGATGTGTGGTAGGCACTAATAAGTGACGCAACCAACATGTAGATTTGTCTTGATCACAAAAACAGATTATCTAACTTTCAAAAATTGCAAAACATGCTACTGAAACTCGACTTTGATATACTGGTAGAAGTAATAGTTATGTAAAATGGTTTCCGATTTTTTTTTTTTTTCTTTTGTTTACCATGATGGGATGGGAGTAAACACGAGATAAAATGTCTGCCTATGACGAGTAAACATGAGATAAAGTAACGGACTGGAGGTAGTAATTCAGAGCTAATAATATTTAGTTTTTCTATGCAATTAGGCCGACCAAAAAATTGTACTTTTATGTTTAGTCTCAACTCGAATAAATAATGAAAATCTATACAACCTTAGTATTTTGGTTGCGTAGGTGTGGGAGATGGAATGGGACATGAGTGGGATGACATTGGCTACCACCGGAAGTGATGGGGTTGTTAGACTGTGGCAGTCGAACGTAAATGGGGAGTGGCATCAGCAAGCTGTTTTGACAACCACAACTCATTAGTCCTCTCTTTGCCCTGATTATTACACTATCCATCTCGAGATCCTACTGTCAAGATTTGTAACATTAGGAATATAAAAGGTAAATCGAAGAATATGTTCCAGAAGTTTTGGATATCTCCGAAAGGAAAAGACCACCTTTGAGGAAATCTTGTGATCTTTTGTAGTGTAGATTGGTTTTGGAGTGAGATTTGTGATAGCTTTGGCATATTAAACTCTATTCATTAGCATATTCCTTTTCTTTTTCTCCTCCAATATACAGAATGTGTTCAATCCCTCTCTCTCTCTCTCTCTCACACACACACACACACTTCTTCTCATCCCGTGCTCCAACTCGGGCCACGTTCTTGTTCGTTCTCCTTATCATCTCCTCGGCAAAGGGTATTTTCATCAGGTCATCATAATCGAGAAACAATTTGACCAAATCGTCCTCACCCGCGACCCCAAAAGGCACGATCTTGGCCCGAAATCTGGCTGCCATGCGTACGAATTCGGGCTCTTCGGGTCAGAACAGCCCACACTCCTCTCCCTTCTTGTGCAGGGCCTCCCGTATCCTGCTTAGGTACAGAAGCACGTGCGACTTTCTAGACAGCAGCTTGAATAAATTTGCTGATGTGGCGGGTGCGGCCCCAAACACCCTGAAGTAGTCGAACTTGATCATGTCTTTTGCTGCTTCTAAAGAGTCTTTCGCAGTTTGAGTCCCATAGCCATCATCCCACAATGGTTCTAGCACATCTTGTTTGGCTTCGAGTTTTTTGTGTTCTTTTTCCTAACATAGCCTGAGGCTGATGAAAAACAGCTACTGGTAAATCTTGAATTTGCCCAAAAGTTGCTTGAAAGTTTTGAGATGCTAGCTGAAACTGGATTGCAGGTTTTGTACTCGGGGTTTGATGTGACCGTAAGCGATAACCGGCACCATGGAACGTTGGTTGTTATCATTGTTTTCATTGTTTTGAATAAATAGATGCAGAGATTGATGGGTGATAATTTTGAGCTAAAAACTATGAGCACAATGTAAAATAGATCTCAAGCACAAGAATAGAAATGCAGAGAATTCAATAGTGTGTGCCTCAGAAAAAGCAGATAAATAGTTTGGTGTTAGATTTCAGTTACTTGAAGTCTTCCAACTGAAAGGACTCACACTTTCCTTACCTGAAGTCTGATAATATTGATTTTTCATGACAGGAAATAGAAATTATCATATATATAGTGGTTCAAATAAAAACTAGTCTTGGTGTGAGAATCGTGAGAATCGTTTTTTATGCTATTTTTAATTGTGTATGATGCTATTTTTCATATTAGATGATGCTATAATTTTTACAAATGCTAACAGAAATTGTATTGCTATTTTTAATAAAATTCATCCTGGTTAAAAATAGCATCAAACACAATCAATCATAGCACTACGCCTAAATAAAAATAGCGGTTCTCACGGTTCTCACATTAATGCAATTACTAACTAATAGCATTTAAGAAAACTTATTTAATAAAACCTCTAAAATTTTTTCTCCATTTTCGGTTACAAAATTTATCATTAATGTTTTTTACTTCTCACATTAATACATCTTATTGAGTGTAATCATGTATTTTTCTATTATATTATAATAATTAATGCTAATACCAACTAATAATAATTCACAATAAATACAAATTGTATAATTATAAACAATTATTTTAAGTTATTATTTTAACATTAATATTATCTTTTTCTTTTGTATCTCATGAAAAAATTTCTTTAAAAACAATTAGTAAATTGTTTTAATAGCATAGTCAAACAACTTTAGAATCTTATAAACAATTGTTTTTGTAATAATAATAATAATAATAATAATAATAATCAAATTGTTATTATCTAATGGTAATAAACAATTGTTCATAATAATAAACAATCATTAATTTATTTTTCTTAATGATTAAATTTTAAAAATGTAATATGTTCATTATCTAATATTTTAATATTAAATTCTCAAATATTACTTATAATATTTTATGTACATCTGTGCATGTGCACAGGATATTTACTAGTTAACAAAAGTAAATAAAATATTATAAATTATGTGTAGGGATATAAAATTATAAGTTAGATAGTGAACATATTAAATTTTCAAAATTTGATCATTACTATAAATAAAACAATATAAACTATTTATGAATATATGAATTGCTATATTAATAGAAAAAAGGTTTATGGATAATGCAATTTTTATAATTTTGATGGATCAAGACAATTAATTTAGAAGAAAATATATTATTATTATTATTATTGTTGTTGTTGTTGTTGTTGTTTTAGTTGTTGTTGTTGTTGTTTATAAGATTTGGACACGGTTTGACTATACTATTAAAGTTAATTAGTTTTTTTTTTATTTACAAAAATTGCTTCATGAGATACAAAACAAAAATAAAAAATAAAAAATAATATTACTTTTATAATAAAGAGTTTGAAGAAAAAAAATTGCCATAGAATTTTTTATACTTATGTAATTTCTATATTTAGTGTAAATTTATTAGTTAGTATATAGTTATTAACTATTATATAATATAATAGTAAAAAAATATGATACACTTGATTACATTAATGTCTAATTGCCGTTAATATCACCACATCACACTTTTTGGCAATTTTATCCAAATTTTTGAATATTAGCAAATAAAGTATAACATACTCTTATATATTGATTATTGAAACTCGAACTCAAATCCTGTCGGCAGCGATATCTTTGTCAAGGATATAATTGTAACAGTTTTCTATCATAATTTTACGGATTTTTTTTTTCATCTTTTTCAATAAATGAACAGTCCATCTTTATATATATAAACACACACACACTAATCTACTCGATTATCTTAAACAAATCGAATAAGAATCACAAATTAAATTAGTAAATGGGACTAAATTGGATACTCGAATATTTACCACGAATCCTAGTTGAATAATTCAACATTCATTTCAATTTCGATTTCAAACTAAAAGTGGATAAATAATAAATTAAATAGTAATTTCAAACATAATGTCAATTTTAATTTACTATTTATCCAGTTATATATTTCGATTAAATAGTAAATAGTGAATTAAGTGGATAATTTCACAAGACATGAAATTAAAAATGTATAAGTGGATAAATAGTAAATTAAAATTGACATGATGTTTGATAATAATTATTTAATATTTTTTAACGGTTATGTTATGAAGCCAACAGTTGGCTCCATAGTAGTCAACTTTCTATATACAACAAATAAACCTATCATATTCTCTGATTATTAATATGGTAAGTTTATTTGTTGTATATAGAAGGTTGACTCCACTGTGGAGCCAACTGTTGACTTCGTAGCAAAATCGATTATTTAATTATATCGATAATAGTGAAGTGAATTAAGTGAATAAAGTCAGACTTGAATTTTTAGTTAAACACTAATCTAAAGTATCCAATCGCCTCCTAAAAGCACAAGCATTTTTCAGCTGCTCGTTTATAAACACATCTTTTATACTTCGTTTATTATGTCGAACAAGTGAAGCTCATTTGCCAGCAAAATTTGCGGAAAAGAATGGCGAATTCATTGCAAATTCAAGCTTCGCTCAAGAGTCCCCCATCAATTATCCCAACTTCGTCGTTCGGCAAAGATAACAATACTCCACAAACAAAGCCTTGGAGCTATTTGGGAGCAACCATTTCCACTCCCAGGAGGCTTCAGAATGGGAGGAGAATAGTTTACAGGGACCGCAAAGGGATTGCTTGTAATGGGTTTTTGCTGCCTGTGGATCCATGGGCACCCACCATTGATTCACAGAGCGTAGCCTCGCAGCTGTTTGCTTTCTCTCTCTTCCCGTACATGGGCTTCTTGTATTTCATCACCAAATCAAAGTCTGCACCCAAGCTCACCCTTTTCGGATTCTATTTCTTGCTTGCCTTTGTTGGTGCCACAAGTATGTAGTGCTCTTCTCTTTTTTCCCCTTTGAACTAAAAGAGCATGTGTCAGTGTGCTGTTTGCTGTTTCCTTGAAAATTTGTTTTAATTTTGCTTTGTTGAGTTGCCTTGGCAATTTGCTGCTGTGTGTAAAGGAGTAAATTTTAGAGTCGTAATTTTATATCTTGTGCTGTTTTTTTATTGGGATTTTAGTTGATTTTTTGAATAGGGATTGTTTGATTTGTCATTGTTGTCTCATTCTGGGCTTTGGTAAATATGTGAATCGAGTAACACCGCTAACGGTCGGAATATGTCACAGCTGAAAATTTTATCTGGATATTAGAATATGTACTATATACTGCAGAGGAATTCAGAAGTAAAACAATAAGCATATCTGAGAAGGGTATGCATTTTTCTTTTGATTTTCCTGGAGTTCTTCTTTTAGGGAACCTGTCTCGTATTATTAGTAACAAGTTTTCTTCCTTTTACATTAAATCACTCTGTAGTGTTATTTGGCCTATTCATAATTAATTCAGCCATAACAAAGTACTGGACTCACCCTTTTAATCTTGTCGGCATTTGTTTAACCAAAAAGAAGAGATAGTTTGTAGTTCGATTATCATATACCATATCTCTTTCTAGTTCATATATTTTTACAGCTAGAATGGATATCATTCAATTCTGTACTAATTTTTTTCTTATGTTCTTTTTTCTGCATTGTTGCCTCTCACCTGCAGTACCAGCTGGAATTTATGGTAACCTTGTTCTGCAACACAGTTTTACTTACATTTACAAATTAACAGTGCCATAGGAAATTTCTGATTGTTCCCCTTATTAAACAGCAAAGGTGCACTATGGAACTTCCTTATCCAATGTTGACTGGTTGCATGGCGGAGCTGAATCACTGCTTACCCTCACCAATATATTTATCGTCTTAGGCCTTAGGGACGCTCTTCGGAAAACCAGAGACGAAAATACAATTACACCTAATTCTTCCTTTGGAATCAAAGATGAAGAGAAGTCATCAATCTAGGTGATAATGCGAAATTATGATACTCATGGTCTATAACTGGGGAAATGAAATGCCGTGTTATTTCATGTTCAAACTAGAGTGAAATTTATTTTATTCTCTGTAAATTCGAATGGATATCATTCTTGTAATGTTTTTGACATGATACGGGAACCTTCAAATGTGCCAACTGGGCTTACTGGAGGAGGCATAGATTCTAGTATATGTATCCATTTCTACATTTAGTCCTTTTCTATGCAGCTGTATTTTCCTCTTATTTTAATATGTTTCTGTTCAACAATTTGGGATTGTAGCTCTTTTCCCTTTTCCTTTTCTTTTTCTTTTTCTATTTCATTTCACTTAGTGGCTTAAATATTCGATATATTATCTACAATGGTTTGTGTCGAAATCGTCCTAGTAATCATCCACCTCAAAGCTCTACTGCTGAACATGTCTTTATGTCATTTGTAAGTGTCTAAGTCATATACAAGATTAAATCTGCTCTTTCTTTTTTGGTTTTTAGTTCTATTTTATTTCTTCCTCCTTTTGCTATTTTCAATTCTTGCTCGGATTCTGGAGCTGGGATATCGTAAAGGAGATTCTTTTGTTTGCTTCTGTGATTACAGTGCCGCCAGAATGTACAGAAAGATCCTGAAAAGTTTTTTCTTTTGGTTTCTTTTGTACGAACTCTTCATCAGTTTTGACTCTTTTACCTCATTTATGCATCTGTTTTCCCACCTGGTTATACTGGAGTGCCAAATCAGTTTAATGACTTAGTGGAAAACCACAATTTTTTCTATACAGGGAAACTGCACTGCTAAACCTATGTTACTCATAAATGATCAGTTCCGGCTCTTTCTTTGCCATTATATTGACACATTTTGGTAACTTTTCTACCAGAACATCTCTCCCTAATCATAAACTTCTAATGAGAGCAAGCATTTTTCCTGCAAAACTCAACATACCCTCTTATTCATCAACTTTTTCAAAATTAAACGTTCAATCACTCGAAAAATCCAGGGAGTAGAATGGGAAGTTCGGATCTAATTCGACTGAATCAGTCGGGAACTCCAACAGCAGAGAATTTGTTGTTGTTGACAACGCATGCCCCGAGGTTATTTCCGTCATCTGGCAAGTCACAGCCGACAGGTAATTCGATTCTGATATGTCTGGATTATAGAAAATAGGAGGATAATTGCTTGTATGATATTCAGGTAATGGGGAATATTGATTTTCTCCTTCAGTCCCCGAAAATGTTGTTGGAAAACAGAAGTGTGCCGGTATTTTCTTGACATCTGAGTCTCCAGTCTCGACCCTGAGGCAGTTAACTCTTTTGGGGCACGAAAATGTTTTATTATGTTGTTCTCGTGGTGATGATGTGGCCTTTGGAACTGTGTAGCTTGGCTGACTGCACGTGTGTTTCCCTTTGTATATGATCTCGAATAAAGTGGGGTCGTCATCCGATCTCTGCACTTGCTTTGTGGCCCAGCAATTTCGAACTGCGCGGTACGTGCATCGGTAATAGCTTCTGCATATATTCATTCATACACTTGTATTATTTTATATATTTTTTTTCATTGAGTATATATGCTCGTGAATAGGTTTCTAAATGCGCTTTTGCATTATCCACATATATTTTTTTTTTTTTATTTGTTTACGTGAGTATGGCTGAATGGGTCGATCATATTATTTAGGAAATTGGAAAGAGAATAAAATAAAACCTGGGATGTTTGGCTCCCAAGATGTCTTTCTGCCCGTACTTTCTCCAACTATATCCGTCGTTTAGTGGTCCATTTTCACTGCTAACTCTCACTTGCTTGCTTATTGTGGGCTGCGACTTTCTGTGAAATCAATCGAGAAACATTCTTACTCAGTGCGTCTGTTATAGTGTTATAGATTCTTCGGTGACTACAAAATAACAAGAGAAGTTTTATAATTATTGGAAGAAAAAAAAAAAGAAAAGAAATTAAAAATCCCCAATTGCATGTAATGGTGGCATGCGGTATCCCTTTAAAGTTGAGACAGGATTCAACCCTGAGGAGTTTTGGATATGTAGGGGTAGTTTTGTAATTAGACCTTTTTAAGAAGCAAGACAAATATTTGTACTTGAATTTTACCTCTTCTTAGATGCATTAGTCAAGTTTATATCAACCTTCTCACTTCTGGGGCTCACGTCTGGGGATAAGGAAGACTCGGGTGCGGCTGGTGTTGGTGGACCAGCTTGGGCTCGTGCAGTAGGCCCACAACACTTCAGAATCAACAGAGAATTCTCGAAAGTCGATATTATTTCCTGAAGGAGCAAGTCATGAGCCTTTGAGGGAAAATTCGAACATATATGAACACGTAGTTGCATAGCTTGTTCCATCCCCTGAGTAAGTTCATCAACCAATTTCTTGTTTTCCCAATTTAAAGCACTCTCCATTTTCTTTTCTGTTTCTCTTTCTTCTCTGTTTTGGTTGCAAGAGCTGTGTAGGGGATGCAGAGCTCAGCTCAGTTTTGGAAAGAAATTTACATCAATGAGGTATGTGTTTGAAGTAGCATTGGGCTAATNTACTTGTGGACCATTTATGAATTATGGCAGTTTATGTAGTGAGGGGTTTCTAGTGCTGACCATGTCAAAACCCAAAAAAATGTAGCAGGAAATGAAGGCCCTGCTGTAGCTGTTAATTACTTTGTATGCTTGTGTTCCGTACAGTAGAGGCAGGGGAGGGGAAAGTCCCAACTGCTGACCCATTCAAAGTCTTAAAAATTGTGTGATTTTAAAGGAATCTTCGAATCCGCGTTTTCTTGGATTGCATGTATCCTTTCATACTACCATTGGTGAGTTGAGGAAGTGGCTAATAATAATGTAGTAATTATTAACGGTAAATTTATAAAATTTATAAAGACAAATTAACGGTAAATCAATCCATATTATTTGCTAGAAATATTAATTCAGTTATTATCGCGTACAAGGTTGATGTTAGACAGGTATCGATTATATTCTCAAATAAATATTAAACATAAAAATAAATATTTTTCTTTAAATGAGGTATGCATACTAAATATAAAAATATGTATTTTGTTTAAAATAGGTCTACCGAACTATTAGAAGGTCTGCTATGATGTTAGAAAACGGTGTCACGCTAACTTAGCTCTAAACATGAGATCTAATTCCTCCATAAAAGCTAGCAACTAATTAATCTATGCTTGTGAAATCGATGTTTAATTATATTTAAGTGAATGCCTTGACTATCATTAGCACAAAAGTCAAATCTACTGGCCCCATTTTTACGTACCAACCTAAAGTTACTAGTAATCAAATGTACTGGTCATACCAAAATCCCAATCTAGTTTTCGTATATAGATTAATTAATGCTTATGTAACTTTAGCTCTCGATGTTCTTTTT